GATCTACACCTATTCAAAAACCGCTCTAGGTACGGAGCAGCGCAATTGTCTTTGAATTCTTTCATGTGGAAAGTTATCCAGCTAGCTTACAGAACGTCGGTGTTTCTAGTCAGGTGTCCGTTTGTGACTGAATTAATGCACAGAGTGGCACTTGAGGTCCTCCTCTACCAGTAAAGCCGAAAAGTCGCTATATGAATTATAGAAAAGTCGCTATATGAATTATAGAAAAGTCGCTATATGAATTATACTGTGTTAGTGCGGCCAAAAGATATTAACACTCGCCGTGCAAAATAAGAAAGTGATATTAACTGTCTGACAAGGCTTTATACTATTGGCTGACTTACTTTAAATCGTTTCTTAATTATAATACTTCAAGACAAATTCAAAACTGGAACCAATAGGTAAGAAATTCAGGAGTTTAATGGTAAATTATTATGCAATTATTATAATATAATTATATTGTTGTTACTTGATAATGTTTAATATTCTAACGTCGTTTTTCATTGGATAATCACGACGTTTATATAATCTATATACATAGCTACATTCAATTAATTATGAATGAATTTCATTTTTCTCTTATGAAGAATGTTTGCAGTATTATAAAGGCTGGGGTTATATGTACAAACAACCGTTTATATTGGGTAATATAACATGTCTAAGATCTGTATAACTAATAATATAATCGATGCTAACTAAATGTATTGCAAACAAGCCTTACATTAAATGGCGTATAAATTTATGTAACGTTATTTGAAAACAATGTACATTCGTACGTCTTAATAAGAGGGAGAATGTTTAGTAATTGCGAATTGGCAAACATGCCATATTTGGGGGTTATTTGATATTAAAATACATTTCATATTTAAGTGGGGGTGGAAAATTATTACTTGTCCCTAAATGGAGGATTTTGTAATTCTATAGAAGTGCTTTATGAACCCAGTTTGTTTACGTCCGGATTGAAAATTACTAAATAATGCAGACGAATTTTCGGAACACCTCGCCTATTACCTATATTCGAGTCCCCAACAAAGATCGGAAGTTTTGGTTGTAGACTTATTTATATAAAACTGGACGTGTGTGTTTAAATTTGCAATATATTGTTTCAGTTTATCATGGCGACTGTGGACAAAGTTCGGATTGTTACACTTTAATGCCAAATACTAAATGTGATTTTCATTTACTACTGTGTGTATGCGACACTGATTACACCTATGACTCAGAAAGCGTCACGTGCCAGGGAGGCGCGACCACGACCCCAGCCCCTGATAGCACTACCGCAGCGCCTATTGGTAAGTAAATACTGTTATCACCTAAAGACCACGGCACAAATAGGACCACGCCGCTACTACGGTAAATTCATGTGCCTTCTTTAAATATTCCTTGAGTATTTATTGAGAAAAATTATCAATTTATAAAGTGGTCTCAATATTGAGAATTTACTGTATACATACAACATAAATAACAAGAATTAGCGTCTCCAAAAATGTCAGGAATCGCTGTTCAGTCGTCGGGTGTTCGATTGTTTGTGTGAAATAGACTTCTTCCGAAACAAATTTTTAAAGAGCTAAAGTTTCATTCTTTCCCATATATCATTTACCCCGTAGGCACCCACACACGGGTTCCGAGCTTCGTACATGAAGAAAAAAGTACGAAAAGGTAGGAAATGTAAGAAAACTTGAGAAAATGTAATGAAAACTAGAGAAAATGTAAGAAAACTTGAGAAAATGTAAGAAACTAGAGAAAATGTAAGAAAACAAGAGACAATATAAGAAACTAGAGGAAATGTAAGAAACTAGAGAAAATGTAAGAAAACTTGAGAAAATGTAAGAAACTAGAGAAAATGTAAGAAAACAAGAGACAATATAAGAAACTAGAGGAAATGTAAGAAACTAGAGAAAATGTAAGAAAACTAGAGAAATGTTAGAAACTAGAGAAAAGGTAAGAAAACTAGAGAAAATGTAAGAAACTAGAAAAATGTAAGAAACTAGAGAAAATGTAAGAAAACAAAGGAAAATGTAAGAAACTAGAGAAAATGTAAGAAAACGAAGGAAAATGTAAGAAAACAAGGAACATGTAGGAAACTAGAGAAAATTAATGAAAACTAGTGAAAATGTTAGAAAACTAGAGGAAAAGTAAGAAAACATGAGAAAAAGTACGAAAACTTAGGAAAATGTAAGAAACTAGAGAAAATGTAAGAAAACGAGAGAAAATGTATGAAAACGAGGGAAAATGTAAGAAAACTAAAGAAAATTTAAAAGTAAAATATTGTGAAGTAGATCACTTACAATAGACATCCAATTCCAAAAAAGATATCAAAACATGTAAAATAGCCCTTATTGCGTGAGTGACACAGTATAAATGTGATGATAAATACTGAAAAGAAGCCATTAATCGCAAATAATATGTTAATTATTACTTGAATCTTGAATAATTTTCAGTTGTAATCTAAGTTATTTTGTTTCAAGTTTGATTTTCTTGAAATATTTTGGCCCACCTTAAGGCATGACGTTTTAACACAGTTTCCTTTGTAAAGCTACAAATATGCGCGTAGTAAATGGTCGTCTGCACGATGACGCATTACAGGGAAATTTTACATGCATGACCCATAATGGGGAAAGTGTTGTTGACTACATATTAACAACATCGCCCGAATTTCAATAAAATTTCATACTTCGCCATTGAAAAATTTAACGAGTATTCGAATCATACACCAGTGTTCTTTTATTTTAAAAACATCTACTTTCCCAACAAACCCAACAACATCACACGAACATTTTATAAATGTACCCGGAGCATAAAGACTCATTTGTGAATGATATAAGAACTGATGCTGACAGTTTGGAGAAGGCATTAAATGAAAAAAATTAATAATAGTTGTGATGTAGAGGATGTTGTTTTCATTATTTACTGATTTTTAAAATGGCAAAGGTTGGAAATATTTTGAAAAAAAAACGGTTAAAATAAAAGATTCAGGTTTTACATCTTTGATGGCAATAGGCAAAAGTGGTATAATGAGGAATTGTAGGCATAAATTTGAATTGTATAAAAGAGCTATTTTAATTATAACATGAAAACATGTAATGAAACGAGACAATTAGTTTACAAGTTAAAAAAAAAGATTATAAATATTGCTGTAGAAAAACAAAAAATGAGTTTAATAGAAATTAAGTCATAAAAATGAATAATATGAGGCGTCAAAGCCCACGTACATTTTTGGAAATTATTTAAGAAGAAAAGTAATAGTCCTTCCGGAGAAAGTGTTAGTATTGAAGATTTTTATAGCTCATTTTGAACATTTAGCTAGCTGTCTCAGATGTTAATACAAACGAACAATGTATTGATTTTTTGGCACATTTTTTAGACAGAAGTGACTCCAGTACATTTCCCAGAGCTTGATTCACCAATTACAATAAATGAAATTACATCTGCAACCAAAGCATTGTCTTCTAATAAACCTGTTCTATAGACAATATACTATATGAGTATTTTTAAAGTTAGTATTGATGTATTATAACGGGTCCTATTCAGTTGTTATTAATTATATCTTAGAGCAGGGTAAATTTCCACCTAGTTGGTCAAAGGGGGTTATAATACCACTATATAAGAAAGGTGACACAAGTGACCCGAATAATTATAGAGGTTATTTACCCTTATCAGTTGTTTTGCGAAGGGCTATTTACTGCCTATTTTGAATAATAGATTAAAGAAATGGCCACGGATTATGATATTCTAACGGATGCACAATTTGTTTTTAGATCTCACTTTAGCAACAGTTGATGCTGTTTTTTATATTGAATTCACTTATTGAAAAAGCAGATGAAAAATAAATCCTTTTTAAATGTTGTTTTGTTGATTATAAAAAGGCATACGACCTGATTGATAGAAGCTGTTTATGGTATAAGCTTATTAACTCAGGCATTGATGGCAAATTGTTTGTTATTTTACGATCAATGTATGACAGTGTCAAGTTATGTGTAAGTCATATGAATTCTCTATCAGATTTTTTCGAATGTAACTTAGGACTTTTGCAAGGGAGATAACTTCCCCGATACTATTTTCCATGTTTTTGAATGATATAGAAATGCATCTACAGCAAAGTAGCAGTGCAGGTATTACTCTGGACCAATTATCTATATATTTATTACTGTTGCGACGATGCTGTATTGTTTTCTGAAACAAAAAGAAGGTTTACAAGATTCACTTAATAATTTAGAAACTTATTGTAAAAAATGGAATCTTAATGTCAATATTGAAAAAAACGTAAAATTGTTATTTTTAGAAAGCGGTGGTAGAATAAGTGAGTCTTTTAAATGGACATTTGCTGGGAAAAGAAATAGAAATTGTTAGTTCATTCAATTATTTAGGGGTTTTTTTGCAAGTGGGGGTTCGTTTAACAATGCAACAAAAAACTTTTGGCTGGGAAAGGAATAAAGGCAATGAATTCACTTTTTAATATAACACGTGGTATGAATGTACCTGTAAATATAATGTTTAATTTTGTTTGATTGCTTACGTATTGTCAGTAATGAATTATGGCTGCGAAGTCTGGGCTTTTTAAAGGCTGAGAATTTTAGAGCGGGTTCATAAAAAATTTTGTAAAATGGTTGCTTAATGTAAAACGAAAACCAAATACATTATCTCTGTATTGCAGAACTGGGCAGATTCCCAGTGTACATTAATAGATATGTTCGAATTGTTAAATATTTTTTAAAAATTGTATGGTCGAAAAATGGAAAACTGTATAATCAGAACTATTGTTACAGACCCAAAGACTAGACATTTTTCATAATACTGCTACTGTTAAATTGGTCGTTCGAAAATACGGTTTTATTACTAAATGCCGGGATTTTGTGATGTCTGGGAATTTCCAGAGATCAGTTAATATAGATGTATTTATACGCGACTCCAGTGTTTAATAATCCCTTTAGGGGGGGGGGATCGATATTATAGTTCACTTTAATTGGGCATGCTAGTGTTCAGACAGTGCAGTTCGTTATTTTTGTATAGAACATAGTAAGTCTATTTTTTAATCGTTCTGAATACCTCACTATTATTGATATTCCTAGATACAGAAATGCTATTGCTAGATTAAGACTAAATTCACACAACCTGCATATTGAAACTGGTCGACATAACAATATTGAAAGAAATCGTCGTTATTGTTTAATTTGCAATTCAAATGATATCGAGGACGAATTCCACTTTGTTTTAGTTTGCCCTTTTTATCATGAAAACAGGAGAAAAATATATTCCCTAGATTCTACTATACACGTCCAAAAGTATGTTTAAATTTATAGAACTGCTAAATTCAAAATGTAAAAGACTCTACATAATCTTGCAATTTATTGTATTAAAATGCTTTAGGCAGAGAAACTGACGCAATTAAATAACTTATAAATCTTTTTTGTTATTATATATAACAACGCCATAATATTCCTATGAAAGATATATGCTACTTTAATAACATGCTTACTCAGATCACTCTCAACTGTTGAATTTAGACAAATATTTGTTGTATAAGTTTAATTTATAATTTATATGATTTGTGTGTATTATTGACTATGTTATGCCCAAAGAGCTGTAATGGGTTAAGTCTTTAAAAAAAAATTTCTGTTCTGTTTTTGTTCTGTTTTCGATTTTAAACGAAATTTTCAACCAGCTTCATGCAACCACTATTTTAACTCTCTACATTTATTAAAGAAAAGATCCTGGGGACAAAATTTTTGTATGGTTTTTAAGGGATAAATATGTGCTCAAATTTAAGGGTTTATCAAATATTTTAGGGTTTTTAAAATTCAAATTTTTTTTTTAAAATGTGACCCAATTTTTAAAATTTTATGAAAATAAAGGGGGGTAATAATAAAACTTATTAAATTTTTTAAAATTTAAGTCAAATTTTTTCAAAAAAAGGGAATTTAATGGGATATATTTTAAATGAAATTTAAAATAAAAATTTCACACTCAGAAAATTTTTCCCCGGGGAAGTATTTTTACAAAATTCTTCATTTTTTTGAAAATTGGGTTTATTTTCATAATTAAAGTACAAAAATTATATAATTTCACATTGTGTGGTTTACCACTTTGATCACAACATACAGGATCTTTAACATCTAAAGAATAAACAGTTAGAAATACATTTGTGACAATAAAAGTGTTTTATAATGTCATTTCGGGATTTTGATTTTCATTATGTCAATTTTGAGAATCATAAATTCTTTTTTGAGACTCAGTGATTTATTACAGGTTATGGTGAACAATGTTCGGCAACATCTGAGTGTGTTGCCCATTCATCATGCACGCGCGGCACGTGTTCTTGCAATGCGGGCTACAGAACCAACGGAACTATGTGCCAGAAAAGTAATTTGATTAACACTCTTAAATATCTATCTCAAACTCTAATATAAGTACTTGTTCTCTCTTAGCATTTGGTTCAGTCATTATCGCGTTGGTCAATCGATCAAGGTTATTTCTAGCAAAACAGAGAGTTCAAAATATTAAAGAAAAGAGTTAAGACACACAAAAAAAGGTGTTTGGATTCAACAAACTTCTTTACCAAAACTCTCATAGTCATGTTCGTACTTTGGGACAGACGGGACATCGGAATTATTATTAATCACTTATCAGTTTAATTTGTTAAATACCACTTGCCCGTATCAACCACATACGTGCGCACACATGCTATACCACGCTTGATCTTAACTTTTAATTAACACATACGTGTACATGTATTGATACATACATAAGAGTAATAGACATGCTTACTCGTGTAGTTAGCACGTGTGCACGTAATAAGTACACTTGTTAACTACCACGAGGGCACGCGATCATTTTCGATGTCATCTGTATAAATCGTTGTCAGCGAGATTAATGTTTGAACTATCTGTTGTATAATGTAACCTGACATATACTATGTGTATTGGGCAGTAATTGGCGGACCTTGTGTTTACACATCCCAGTGTACATACTACGAACCCAACTCCAACTGTAATAATCGGTTCATGCAAGTGTCTGGACGGGTATTATGAGACAGAGGTGCTTTGTTCGAAAGGTATTAATTTTATAGGATTTTTCAGTATTCATTACCAGTTTAAACATGTTAATTATGGTGAGGCCGCATTGTCAGCCATGCTTGAGCTCCCCCTTAGTGGGTCCAAAAGTGAAAGTAGGACAATGTTCAAGAAAAAAGCTCACAGTGTAAACTGATGAACAATTTGAAATTACACTTCAAGTCTATATTTAAGGACTAGTTTACATGAAAACAACAACAACAACAACAACAACAAAAATCAACAAGAAATAATTACATTGAATGTGCTAATTTTATAAAAAAGCAAGTAAAGTCTTTTGTAGGGTTTTATGCGCATTTCAGGAATAACAAAATCCAGTTTTTAGTGTGTTGTAGTGCAGTGGAATGCAACAGACATAAAGAACTTGCAAACTCTTTTACAACGAAAAACAACGACAAGAAGAACCCTATTTTATGCGCAACAAAGCACTTTGCCTCCATTATTGTATGTAAAAAGTAGTACAAGGAGGCAATCACCGAAAACAACTATTTAATTTTTCTAATTCATGTCTGCCATGTATACAATAAATAAATTTATAAAATGTGTTTATTTCCCGCCCGGAAGGGCAGTTTTAAGTCGACCTCGACTAGTTAAAACTGTAAAGTCGAGACCTGGCTTCATACGGTCAGCATATCTTTAAGTCAAGTATTTTTAAATAAATTACCGGAACTTTATTTATACAACATCCTGGTGATATATTATAAATATTTCTTTTCAGGGGGACAAGCGCAGACCTTCAGCTTTTTGGTAGTCGTTGCTCACGTGCTATTTGTTGCTATGGTAACGAAGCGTTTACCTTCATCTTTATAAGGCGGATGATAAACAAAAAAGAAATGTGGTGATTTAAAGAATAGTTAATCCAATTATATTTTGCATGCTGAATACAAATAATACATGGATTGTTAAAATAGTATACATACTGACACTAGATATTCTTTGAAGTTTTGTTGACTCGCCTTTTGCGTTCTGCTTGCTTTTCTCGCTCACCTGACTCGCTCTCCTTTGACATTGGCTGTAAAATTGGCAATTATTGAGACACTACATTGTATCATCTGCATTGTTGAATCATTTTAATCATTGTACTTTATCGTTGTAACAGATCATTTGAAATATATTTTATGCTAAGCTGTTGATTTGTAACAAGTAGACACATTTTCATATAAGTCGCCGAAAAGGCGACTGGTATTTGTCGAAGAGGCGAAAGGATATCATTTTCTATCTTTTCGTGTTTTTGACCTTTTACTACAAAGGCTTAAACTTGCAATGTCTGTGAATAGAAACACGGTAGGGAATCACGTGACCTTTACGGTTACGCGTACAGACAATATGTCGGCATAAAAACCTCTATTTACATGTGTTTTTCAGAGAAAATTCGCCATCTGGAGATTGTACATTTGACTTAGGATGAAAATTTTTCTGAATGAATTAGTGTCATTCTAGTTTGTACAGTTACAGTTACAAAGAAATATTTTCATATGCAGATATGTATAAATATGTATATAAAATGCATCATGCTTCATCGTTTTCTGACCCCATTGCAATAACTCTATAATCAATTTTTTATAAAATGTATTGACAAACTTTGATGAGTTCTACCAATCAGATTGAATCTGAGGTAAAAAGGTCAACGGTCAAGGTCAATGTAACTTTTATTGCGTAAAATGTTAAGGTTATATTGACCACGAAAACAACCTGTGATAAAATATCACAAGGGCAGATAATCCTAAAGTTATACACCTTTTTTCAGATAGATTTTTGTTGACCTGCTTAACCTGTTTGTTTTGGTTAATATCTCAAAGAATATCAAAGATATTCACTGGATTATTATTCACTTCAAAATTTGAAAGGCATATCTAAAGGACAGACAACCCCAAAGAATATATTGACTAAATTATCTCCCTTTTATTTCTTCATAACAATTTCTTTATCAAATATTCTAATCATTTTCTCATAAAATCACCAATATTCTCTTCTAGCTTGAAATACTTGTTGAATTACTAAGGAAATATATTTGGTAAACAGTATATCAGAATTATGTCCTTTTTCTTCCTCACTTTAAATTACCATACTATCAAAGTATCAAATACAGAGAAAAGTGGGCAAGCTGCTCCTTGGACAGCTTTTGTTAAATTTTCACTAAAAAACTCGAATCCTTGCTGAAAGTTAGGCAGGTTCATTTAAGATATTTAGCGTAGTAAACATTGCTATATTAATCTTTAAATTATGATGATGCTAAGAACGTTCCCATTGTATGTCTAAATTAAATTTTAAAGGGGTTTAGTCTACAATGGGTACATTTTCCACAAGTATTTTAAATGCTGATCGAAAACAATATAAATGTATTGTTTGAATATTTGTATCATATATTGCTTGAAAACTGTTGATATTAAAACTCTTAGTGATTAAGTAAGAGCATTTTTAGGATGAATAATCATATTTTATTCTAGAAGATTTTATTATTTGCTATGTTGATATATGTTTGTTATATGTGTGATATATGTTTGTTATATGTGTGATATATGTTTGTTATATGTGTGATATTTGTTTGTTATATGTGTGATATATGTTTGTTATATGTGTGATATATGTTTGTTATATGTGTGATGGAATCATGTATCTCACACTTGCAAAAATTATACGTATAAATTTATTTCGTGGTTTGTTGTTATGCCTAATACTAAATGCTGTCAACGTAATAATTTATTGTATTACGGACCTGTGGGTTCCGCGGGAGATGCTTTGGTAGTTTAGTGCGCAGGAAGGTAGTCTAGTATTGGTGTAACTCTCAGGAAACTACCCGCCTATATGACTGAAATACTGTTGGGAAAAGGCGTAAAATAGAACAAACAAACAAACAGTATTACGGACCTTCCATTGTAGATCAATTCACTTTAATGTAAAAAGTTAGTTGATGAAATTATTTTTCTTCTATGTTTAATGTTTATACGTACATGTTTAGTATTGTGCGTACTTATGAGTCTTAGAGTTTATTTAAAGTATCAATATTTACGTTTTATATAGCTTATTTACTTTAACGTTTAGTTAATTAACGTAACTTAAGACCGTTTGTTTTCATTAGAATTTAAAAGAGATATATTTTCTATGCACACTATTTCGGTTGAATGAAAACGATTGTTCGATAGTGATGTCATAAAGCTAAGCGGATTTCACGCAGCAGACGACTCTTGTGCCCACGCTTCATATTTGATACATTTTTAATTTATTTGACTTTATACTGAAATATAACTTACATGTTCTGAAGTTACATTATCAATTTATATTCATGAAGAGTAGAGTTTACTCAAGAGTAGAATTTATATGTTTTTGTAATTATATACATGCCATTTTAAAATGAATTTTCTAGGATTAAAGAACGGGCGACGATCGAGTTGCAATACAGTAATGAGTGGCTTTCGATATTTACTTATCGCGATATTCTTAACGATAATCGTTCAGCAAGGTTTCAATTGGTCGATATCACATAGAACATTAAATAGAATTTCGAAAAATGCACAGGAAAATGAAGGTAATGTTTGTTTATTAACTAATTAGTTAATTAATATATTTATTTTTGCTATGATTTTACGAATACATGTATTTGGTTTGCCTGTTTGTCTGATTTATCAGTTCTTTAAAAAATTCTTTTGAAGTTTGAAACCTGAAATTTGTTAAGTGAACTTGGCCTGGTTTGAATTTGGAACAGTCAATTATAAATGAGCCGTGTCACGAGAAAACCAACATAATGGGTTTGCGACCAGCATGGATCCAGACCAGCCTGCGCATCCGCGCAGTCTGATCAGGACCCACGCTGTTCGCTATCAGTTTCACTTCTTGTTATTGTGTTGGCAAGCGAACAGCATGGATCCTGATCAGACTGCGTGGATGAACAGGCTGATCTGGATCCATGCTGGTCGCAAAACCATTATGTAGGTTTTGTCGTGACACGGCTCATTAATAGATTTCAGTAATGAAATACAAAGAGGATATTCAAGTTTTTTTTTCTACAAATACAGGATTTTTTTTCACTAAGTGTTATGAAAATAGATATTTCATTAGTGGCTGTAGCGTCGAGTGTAATATGATAAATTTCATACCACAAGATAATAATAGTAATAATAATAATATTATAATAATAAAAAATTATAATAATAATTAAATTTTTTTTTAATAATAATGATAATTATTATTATTATTATTATAATTATTATCTATTATTATTATTATTATTATTAGTATAATTGTCTTTTGGGACTTTGCAATTTAAAAGACTTCCTCATAAATTGTGTGTACTGTATTGGCTGAATTTAGAAGTAGTCCGGCAAGACACCAGTGCAAATATGGAAAATAGGTTTTACTGCAGTGAAAAATAAGTGAAAATAAATAAGCATATGAAAATTTATTAAATTTAGCCACCATCAGCCTACATTGTACATTAATCGTGTACGTTTCCAACAAGGTCAGGCTTTACTGAAACACTGCACAATACCTTTTTTTGCGATAAAACTGTCGTATAAATACAGAGTATTGTTAATTCTTGCAGTGAATATGATTATTAATTGTTTTTTATTTTTACTTTTGCAGTTGGGCAAAACTACCGTGACAAACGCCATAGACGCTCACACTTTGGGCATAATTTCACATTCACCACCAACGTTAAGAAACAAATGTGCAGCGACAAGGTAAAATGGAAAACTAAAGGAATTTTAGCGGAAGTGACGTCAGATATGGAATACTGGACTTTCGACAAAAGACGGACTTGTAAAGAAATAAATATTGATAAAGTTGGAACTCGTCCAAAGCGTCTGAAAATGGAATTTATATGTAAAAACAATAAAATATCTTTTAAATGGACAAATGACACAAATAACATTTATACCGCTCCATTTGGGGATAATTGCATCGAAAGATATATCTCCAGCTGTTGCTATGGCGATAAGCTCGTGCCGAATGTAGTCCATTATGTTTGGTACTCGAGAGGCGAGCTGAGTTTCGTTGGATTCATGAGCCTGCTAAGTGTGATTCGGTTTGTGAACCCTTGTCTAATTATATTTCATGGTGACACCTTACCAAATGGGAGGTACTGGGATTTTATTGTAAATATTTCGCCTAACTTGATTCACTTGCAACGGGAACGGCCAGAATTCGTTTTCGGACAACGTTTTGGTCATAATGAGCACTCGGGCGACATAATGCGAATTGAAGCTCTTCTTCAATATGGTGGTATTTACATGGATACCGATACCGTCCTTGTACGGCCGATAGACGAGCTACGGCAGTACGCATGCGTGATGTCAACACAACTGCGTAGACTGGGTTCAGCATTTATCCTTGCAGAGAAGAACGCGACATTTTTACAGAAATGGATGGACGGGTATCGCTATAAATATAATAGGCTTGATTACACATATAATGCTATGACGTACCCACAGATCCTCGCCCTAAAATATAGCAACTTGATTCATGTAGAGATTGGAACTGCTTCAAGACCAAAGGATCTGTTTGGTTTTAAGTTTTATAGCAGACGATACGAGATGTATAATTGGTCCAAGGTTTACGGAGTGCATTTATTTACCAGAGGTTACGGCGGACCTTTAAATGAAACGACTATTAGAGACATGCATTCACCATGTGGTTCAGTTATGAGACACATATTTTATGGGAATAAGGATTTATGTTTTTAGTCAACAATTACAGCTTCTTTAACATCGAGCTCTACAACACAGGGAATATACATGTACTTAATAATTAACGCCTGGAGGATAAACCGTAATGTGCAGAACAGAGTTAATACAACTTTAATACATTGTAGTCTATTTATTCTACCCGTGGAACCGAATAATATTTTAATAGCCACTAGCTATCTTTGGGTTCGAATTGCGCAAGAAAGCTATATACCCGGTATTCGACTTATGAAAAGTCAGTGGTTCTATTCAGCGTCCGGCTTAAGTTAAACTAAAATGCCATCAGAATGAAAATTACAATCATAGAGTAGCATATACATAAACCCAAAAACTGTCGCACAAAATATTTACCCGTTTACATGCTGATTTTATGTAATGAGCTTGTCGTGCTTTAAAAGTAGGACAGTTCTTTTTAAGTTTAACGTATTTTATTATCAATATACAAAACCATAGAGGCAGTCTTGCAAGACAGCACGGAAGTGACGACTGGCCCTGCTATATTTTGTTGTGATGGCTAACTATCTTGGTTTTTTAAGACTTCAACAGGGTGACATCATGATTGCTATTGTTTCGTGTATTATAAATGTTATCGCATTTATTTTCACACAGATTGAGAAAGTACCGGAAGTTATTGTGAACTTTCTGTGAACAGAATCAAGCTCAGAATGATTGTTGAATAAGATCTATACCGCGCTTTATTTGAGCCTTTGGTTCGGATTGTAAAAAGACCAAGATTGCCGCCTAAATTTAAATTCATTTGTATTGAAATGACATAGCAGCGCTATTACAAGTATGACATGAAAAACAAATTTACGAAGAACCTGGTTTGGACAAGTGCATCCGTTACATTTGAGAATCCGATTTATGCTTTAATTACAAAAAATCAAACAGTTATTTTTATTGATTTAATCTGGTTTTATTTACGATTTCACTTTTGTGATACCATACTATTAACATATTAAATAAATGTATATGCCATGCACCAGTCATTTATTATAATGAATGTAAGAATATTTACTAATTATCCTTTTTAATCCATGAAATTTACACATATGAGCCGCGTCATTACAAAATCAACATAGTGCGTTTGCGACAAGCATGGATCCAGACCAGCCTACATATCCGCGCAGTCTGATCAGGATCCATACTGTTTGCTATCAGTTTCTCTACTTGTTATGGGGTCTGTAAGCGAACATCATGGATCCTGATCAGACTGTGCGGATGTGCATGCTTGTCTGGATCCATGCTGGTCGCAAGCCCATTATGTTGGTTTTGTCGTGACGCGGCTCATATATTTTTGCATGCAGCAATTCTGTAACTGGAGTGATTAAAGTACTACTAGTATTCTTTTTATATTTCTCTCAAATTATGTTTACCATCGGAATAACAATCTGAACAAGACGACATAAACATAGTCACTGAATTTATTTTCTTAAACGTCAGTGCTTTTAAACCTTATGTAACAGAAGCCTATAAAGACCTCTTCCAATCTAAATTTTCCTAAAAATCAGTTTTCCCAAAAATCTGATCTTACACTAGCCTATTGTTAATCAGTTTTCCCAAAAATCTGATCTTACACTAGCCTATTGTTAATCAGTTTTCCCAAAAATCTGATCTTACACTAGCCTATTGTTAATCAGTTTTCCCAAAAATCTGATCTTACACTAGCCTATTGTAAATCAGTTTTCCCAAAAATCTGATCCTACACTAGCCTATTGTAAATAAGTTTTCACAAAAATCTGATCTTACACTAGCCTATTGTTAATCAGTTTTCCCAAAAATCTGATCTTACACTAGCCTATTGTTAATCAGTTTTCCCAAAAATCTGATCTTACACTAGCCTATTGTAAATAAGTTTTCCCAAAAATCTGATCTTACACTAGCCTATTAACTTCCCAAATTAGCAATTTTTGCGAAAATTTTCCTCAATTAAGTGCGTAAAACCACTGTACGTATTTGCTTGGCAAAATAGCGCTAACTGCACTTTCAGTGCTTTGATTATCCTAACAACAGGTGGTTAACGCCTTGTCGTACAAAATATGACAAAGTTGGACATGGCTAAATATTTTTGTTTTTGCAGACGAAAAGGCGAAAAGCGACAAAGTGTAAATCAGTCACTATTATTTTCTCACAGACGGCGACATATATTATTAACAAGATTTGACTATTACTTGTGCACGTCACCTGTCCTGAGCCAATCAAAAATCAATATTTGGAATATTGTAAAATGGCTTTTGTTCAGGAAGGAATCTATTTCAAGAAAAATATTTTAAGAATGTTGATAGTCAAAGAGTGTTAGCTTAAGCCTTGTAACACCGCACTTTGGGGTCAAACGCACTTTGGGGTCCGACCCCAAAGTGCGTTAAACTTCGCACCGCACTTTGGGGTCAAACGCACTTTGGGGTCAAAATCGAGAAATTGACCCCAAAGTGCGTTAATATGCTACATATCAACGCACTTTGGGTTCCAGAGGTCTAAAGGTGTAATCTGAGTTCTGCTTAGATACTGAGAACTGACTTATTTTCGATCTTCGACATTGAAATATTTGAGGTGGAGTTCAAGATGGCGGTCAATACTTTGATGATGCTTAAGTGATAAAAGTTTCATTAATTTTACCACTTAAAATATCCAATAATAATAATAATTTGTTCATATAACAAAATTACGGTGGCATAAAAGTGACATTTACATTTATTTTTATATAAGTTTTGCATACATATTTTTATTAAGTTTTGCATACATATTTTTTTTCAGTTTTGCATTCATTTTTTTTTTGAGCTTTGCATTCATATTTTATTAAAGTTTTTATTTTTAGTTTTTCGTACATATTTTAGCCAATCAAAACAGCCTTCACATCTCA